CCAAACTTACAGGAGGACCCACATTACAGACCCACGCCCCCTTCCTGGCTGCGGGCACCTCCCTCTCTGAGAAGGGCGGCAGGAGGGGTGGTGGGGTCTGGCCCTGACCTCCCCCCAGCCTCACAGTCCTCCCCACCTGCTGCAGCAGCTCCACTGAGCTCCTGGGGCCCAGAGAGTGCCCACACCCTCCCCACGCTCAGGAGATAAGCGACTCTCTCCCTCTCATCCATTCCCTCTTAAGCATCACAGGACATTTGAAAAAACTGTCCCAATTTTGGGGTGGAGAATGAGGTCAGCAAGCCCAAGTGGGGACTGCTTGTTAGTGACAGCTGACAGTCTCCATTTCACCTTGAAGCTCCTTCCTGGTCCAGGGGGGCGTGTCCTAAGCCCGGTTTTACAGGGGTGCTGCTTGACTGGGAGACCGAGTGAGCAGGAAAGGAATTCACCGAATAGCAGTGTCAGTCACGGGTGCTGCCAGACCCACCCCTAACATTTGTGGGGCCTGGGGCAAGAGAACAAGTGGGGGCCCACCTATACATGGCTAAATATTTAAAAGTTAGAAACCAAGCCAACACACTCTTAATTACAATGTGTTCTAACCTCCCATCTTGACAAGGACACTCCCATAACAACCTGGAAGACCAGGTTCCAATGCAGATTTCTCTGACCCCGGGGAGTTTTGCGGGAGAACAACGATGTGTGGGGAGAGCTCCTTCCTGCACCGCAAGGGACCCTGATGCACGCATGTGGATGCCCAACCTCACATCCTGGCTCCGTCCTCATGCTTGGCAAACAGCTGCCCCTTAGCCGTCACCAGGGGCCCCTCAGGTTTAGGGGTGCCCATGCTAGTGGGATAACTTGCATTGAGAACAGGCCCAGGGCAGAGGCTTGCATGGCAGCAAGCTGGTGACCATCTGGGCAGGGACCTCCAGAGTCACAGGTCTGGGGAGTGTGATCTTGAAGGGGACGTACAGGCTCATCCCCTTGGCCTTGCTGACCCCTCAGCCCACAGGGAGAGGGATGTTCAGAGGAGGATGGGAGCAGAGCCCTTGAAATCACCCGGGGACGGGGGGCACGGGCACTCCCTCCCCTGCCCAGGTTTAAGGGTGATTACTAGAGCCAGACTTCCCCAGCAGCCTCCAGAGCTCAGGCCCGGGACTGAAGCTGTCTTTCCATTGGACGGCAGCTTGGACAATCCCCAAACAGGACTTTCAGTCACTTGTATTATTTATCTTCCTGGAAAAATTTAGTGCGGCCTGATCCCAACTTGTGCATTTCTGGAGGTGGGGAGGGCAGGGAGGTGATGACAACGGGGCATTTTTTTTCAGTTGGGTCTCTAAGCCACTCTGTTCCCTTAAGGCATAGCCCCAAGTGGGCTCCTGCTACCAGTGGCCCCTGCCATGTTGGGGACCCCCTCCTCACCCCGGGCGACTAAAAGAGAAGGAGGAGAGGAGCCCTGGACAGCCTAGACAGGTCCAGTTGAGATCCACGGACCAGCAGGGGGCAGGGGCTGGAGGGGTGGTGGTGGTGAAGGGCATTGCTCTCTCCGGCCAAGTTTAAAAAAAACTTCCACCACCCCCCCCCCCCCGGCAGATCGGCTTTGCTGTCCTACACACGAGGGGACACTTATACTTGTTGAGCTCTCACCAGGCGCCAGGCACTATGCTAAGCGCTCTCCGTGCGTATTCTCATTTAATCCTTGCAGCCACCCTATGAAGTGGGTTCTATTATTATCCCCATTTTACAGGTGGGGAAGCAAATTCAAAGAGGTTAAGTAACTTGCCCAAGGTCACACGGTAGGTACAGGTGATAGAACTCAAGTCTAACTGACCACAACGACCCTGCTTTTTCCACTAAAGCACACTGCCTCCCAGAAGCAAGAAGCGGGCACAGAAGCAGAAGGGATGAAGGTCAGATATGAGAAAGAACTTTCTGAAAATGATAGTTTGTGTGGTGGAAGGAGACAACGGGATGGGGAAACTAGACATACACAGGAAGCCCATTGGATCCCTGTCTGTCCCTGGGCTTGTGATGATCTCTAGAAGGTCTGTGGGGTCCTGGCTGGATGCAGAGGGCAGCATCCTGACTTCCCTTTTTTTCTACAGTCTGGGGTCCTCTGCTCTACCCCAGCCCAGCACCAAGGCCCAAAGTCTGGCTCCCTCCCTTGTGGCTCAGAGCTCTGAGCATGACATCTGAGCTGTCTGCCCCAGACCTCCTCTTCCAGGAAGGCTTCCTTGAGTACTAGGAGGCAGGACCCTTTTCCTACAACCCAAACCCCAACATGGAGCGTACAAATGCACCCCTCGTCTGCAGTAAGGCTCCCTTCGGTAATCACCTTTTCCACCTGGCTCTGGGACATGAACACAGAAAAGATCTAGGCAGTCCCCAGGCTCTCTGGGCTCCCCAGACCGTCTGGATGATCTCCGGCTCCCTCCCGCTCACCCATGTGTATCTGTACCCAGGTGTAACAAATGATGCGGGTGCCCTGTGCTTACGGGAAAATCCAGGTCCCAGCTCAGCTATGCACTCTTACCTCATTTACCCATAGAACAGACGATGTTTGGGTCACCCCCATCACTCCCTAAGGGTGGGGAGAGGATGCTGCACCTGGATGAGGACCGGGGCACCCCAGTCAGTCAGTGGGTCCTCACCGGGAGCCCTGCAGTCACTATCCCCAACCTGCTCTCCTCCAGAAAGCTACGTGCCTAATGCCGGGCTCTGTCCCTTCTCATCCCTCAGAGCCCACCCCAGCATCAGGGCTAACCAGCCGGGAGCCTCTAAACTTCTCCAGAGTTTAGTCCCACCCGCTAGATGCCCAGCGTCCGTGCGCAGAGCCAAAGGGTTGTCCTCACTGTCCCTTGGGGTCCCCCAGTTTTGAGACCAGGGCACAGGACAGGTGGAGGGGGCTGCCTTGTTCTCCCCGCGCTGCCCTCGAGGTCCTCAGCGTGGACCAGCCCGCGTCGCTGACTTACCTGCAGGGCAGAGACAGAGCCCGCCACGGCCACCTGCTCTCGCTGCGCTCCGGAGCGCGGCGGCTTGGGGCTGGCCGGGGGAGGGGGCGGGGCCCGAGAGGGGGCGGGGCCCGGGCCCGGGAGGGGGAGCCGCGGCCGAGCCCCTCCCTTAGTCGCGGCCGGGCCCGGTGGGCGGGTTCATTCAGGTGGGCAGAAAGCGAGGGGAGCTTCTGGGCCACCAGGGAGGGTCTGGAGCTCTGGCTTATTGAGCGCTGAAAAGGTAGGATGCCTGCGTCCTGAGAACCCCACGAAATCCCCTGCTTCGGGCAGCCTAGCCCACATGAAGACCCTTCCCCAGAAAAAGAAAGCCTAGGAACTTCTCGTGGCCATCCTAACTCAAGAAAGCTCTCCCAGCCTGGCAAGGTGGGTGCGAGATAGGTCACCCCCTCTAAAGTCAGGGTCCCCCATCCAGGGGTCAGCTGTGTAGGGGTCCAGGCCACTGAAGGGACCACTAGGTGCCAGGTCGTCTTTATCCTCCACCCATCTCTCTCTGCAACACTACCCCCTGCCCCGAACGCCAGCTCGAGCCCCTCAGCTGTCACCGTTTAGCCCTGGAATGACAGGCGTCCAGACTCCGTGCGCCCAGCCGCATTCAAGGCCATTGAGCTTAGCACCCCTGGGCCCCTGTCCCTCCTCCCTCTGCCCCCAGTCGCTAATTTTATTGACCTGTAAAAGGCACGTTGCTGGCAGGGGAGATAACTGAAGGTGAAGTGGGGAGTGGACGGGCAGAAGACAGGCCCCAGGAGGCGGAGATGTGACAGCAGGGAGAAGGGTGACGTCCGGAACCAAGGCCAAGGGACACCGGAGATTAGGAGGAAGACAGGCGGGGGGGAGAGGGGTACCCTTTGGGGCGACGGAGACCAGAGAAACTGGAACTGGAATTTCAGCCTCCATCAGACAAGAGACAGACTGGAGAAAGAAGGTGCTGGGGAAAAGAGAGGGCTTCATTTCCTGGTCTACCCCTTAGGCAGGACCAAGGATGTAGCAGGAGGGAAGGCGGTTAGACGGCGGGAAGGACAGCCATCCTGCTCTCACATCTCTGCCCTAGCCCCATCCCTTCCTCTTGAAGGTGACTCCTGCCTGCTGGGCCTCTTACTACAGAAATAGCCCTTTCCCTGAAGAATCAACCTAGATCTTGCCTTTCTCTCTCTTCTTTCTCGTTAAAATGAGAACAGAAAATTTAGGCCTTTACAACTTCCCCCATTCCCATGCCTACCTGAGCACCACCCCTCAAGTCCTGGATCTCAGGAGGTCCAGGGAGGTGACCTGGGGGTTAGGGGAAGGTGGAGGGGGTACTGCTGGGGTTGGAGTCTCTAATGAGGTGGAGGGGGCGGGGGGGGGCCTCACATTCTGGATGGCTCTCAAATTTAGACTTGTGATGCTCTTTCTAAATAAGGTTACATGAGAGCCATAAAGAGGGGTGGTTAAAAAAACAAAACAACTTTAACATTAAAAATATACCACGAAGCAGATCAGGGGAGGGGAGGGGTAACTTGGGAACGAGGAAACTTTTGAGGGTGATGTTCATTATCTTTTTGTGGAGGTTAAAATTTATCAAACTGTACACTTATGTACAGTGTATTTTATGTCAATTATACCTCAATAAATCTATTTTTAAAATACCATTTTTTTTTTAAGATTTTATTTGAGAGACAGAGATAGCGAGAGCATGAGCGGGGACGAGAGGGAGAAGCAGGCTCCCCGCTGAGCAGGGAGCCCGATGCGGGACTCGATCCCGGGACACCGGGATCATGACCTGAGCCGAAGGCAGATGCTTAACCAGCTGAGCCGCCTGGGCACCCCACCACATCTTTTCTATAGCAATTTTCTACTTTATTTTCAATTTATGAGGAACCTCAAAAAATAGAAGGGAAAGAATGTTAAGGGGTCAAGGGAGACTGTGTTGATTGCTAGTAGAGTGTGGCCAGCCTCCTGCCCCAGTTTCCCTCCCAATCCCCCCAACCCCTCCCTCCATCTAGTGCATTTGAGTGTCTGTGGGTGTGAGGGGGGACCTGGGGCCGAGCTGTGGCCCCCGAGCTGCTTCCCCAGTGTGGGAGTCTGAGCCAGCCTGGGCGCCCCAGGTTCCGCTGTGGCTGGTCAGCATGCCACCCCCCCTCTCCCCGCCCCCCCCACCCCCGGCGGAGCTGATGACTCAGGAGGGAGGGGCTTGGAGGCAGGCTTTGCCCAGGGGAAGACAGCGGCTGCGGATTCTCCTGCCCCCTGCAGCCTGAGGCGGGCACTGCAGGGACAAGGTGCTCAGTCAAGGGAGAGGTCGGCCAGGTTCTGGGCACAGTGCTGCAGATAGTCGAAGTCAGGCACTGGGAAGGGCACGCGGGACCACTTCTTGGCCTGGACTCTCCCTCGGGGTGTCTCCAGAAGCATGCTGCGGACTCTGAGCGCCGGCAGCTTCACTGACTTGTAGATCATCTGCAGACCCCAGGCCTGAGGATGGAACAGAGAAGGCTGAGTTGGGGTCACTGTCCTCAGAATGGGCTTCTCTCCTCAAGGTGGGGGATCCATGAATGCAGGGCCTGGGTCTCCCACCTCAGAGCTGTCTCCCCAATCACACCACGGGCTCCCAAAGATAGCGGTTCGATCTCTCTCCTCTGACTGGGGGGCTCCTGGGACGGAAGCTGCTTCCCCCATCGCAGGGAGGGTGTCCTGATGGCAGAAGGCTGGGCCTCCTCTCTCAGACTGGGAACTTCTGCAGACTGTTGTTAAGGGTCATGGCCCCAACACTTACCTCCCCACAGTTCCTGCAGTGAATGGTACCCCCAGGCCTCCAGTCCTTGAAGACTCTGTCAATGACTACAGCCCCTCGGGAGACAGTGTAGTAGACCCTGGAGGGGAATGGGAGTCGGTCCTCATGATCCCCCCCCATCACCCCCAAGCTCGCACCCTCCTGCTTGCTGGGCCTCTACCTGGGCCTCGGGCTCTTCTGCCTGCCCAAGAGGCACAGAAACCTCCCAGAGCCAGGAGATCCGCCCTCCAATAAGCTCTGCCCGTGCGGCCTCATTGCATGCCCTCTGCTCACGTTCAGGCCTCGGCGCCACCCATCCAGATGGTTCCCACAGTCCCTCAGCGGCTCTCCCAGCTCCACCCTTCCATCCCATTCCATCCTCACTCCCAACCCACACCATCCTTCTGCCCACTGCCAGGGTGATCTTCTAAAAATGTAACTCTGACCTTGACGTTCCCTTGCTCAAAACCCACCCAAGACTCCTCGCTGCCTATGGGATGAGGCTGGACTTCCAGGCCAGCCTGCTTCCTCAGAGGCTCCTCCTTCATCCTTCACAGCCCTTCCCACTCGAGCCAACCAGAGGCCGCGCCGGTACCTCATCCCTGCCTGGACTCATCCCACCTTCCAGCCCGATCCGTCCCGCAAGAGCCCGCTGAAATGCTCCCTCCTTAAATGAGAGAACCTGGTGTGCAGATCCTTGGCCCCGTGGCCTGGCATAGAGTGGCTCCCGAATAAATACTTAATGAGTGGATGGATGGATGGAAGGTGGGGGAAGGTTACCCTCTAGGGGACAGAGGATGAGAGAATGGCTCAGGGACAAGCCGCCCCTCTGTCTTCAGAGTAGGTGGGACCAGGTGGAGGGGGAGAGCCCAGTTCGTGGCATCTCAGCATTTGGTGTCCTGAACTCTAACTCCTGCTCAACCACACAGTGGCTGTGGGAGCCTGGACAAGTCCTTTCGCCTCTCTGAGCCTCTGTTTGCTCACCTGCAAAATGGGGTGGTGATAAAACCTGTCTAACCAGCCTCTTGAAAATGCAGACTCGGTACTTGTCAAAATGCCATTTCGGCTCCCAAACCCTCAGAGCACGGTCTGGATGGGAGGAGTTCTCTGTCCCCCATCACACCCCTCCCTCCCTCTCATCCTGCCAGCCCCTTCCCCTGGTCTCACGAGAAGTTGGGGTTCACGTTGACATGGTGGGCATCCTCCACCTTCCGCAGGTCGCTCCCGTGGCCCACGGCCACCATGCAGTTGACACAGAGGAGCTGCACCTGTTCAGCCAGGAACTGCTGCCGCTGATTCTCCCGCTGGGCTGCCCGGGCCACCCGCTTGACCACGGCTGCCCGCTGCAAGTCCCGGATCTGGAGTCAGAGGAGACACCGGGCAGAGCTGGGGCCCCACGGGTCTGACCCCTGGAATGCTCTCAGGGTCTAAGGGCTTGCAAAGACCTCAGATCATTAGGACCCAGAAAGGACTTCCCTCAACCCTCCCTGGAGCTTCGAGAAGCAGCTCTGTGGAGAAAAAGAATACAGAGCAGGGGCAATGTTGGGAGCAGGGCAAGCTTTGTGGCCGAGTCTCTGCCTCCTCTTTGGAGGATTTTGTGCAAAGCTGCTTCTTTGAATCTCACATGGGGCATCGCTAATAATTATGCTGGGATGACAGGGGTACAGAGGGACCGTCCTGGGTGAAGCTGGACGATGGTGACCCTGCCTCAGGGGAAACGGATTTAAGTCCTGGTTCTGGGCTTATTCTGTGCACGTGACTTTGTTTCCCCCTGCCCAGTGCTGGAAGGATTGTGAGGCAGCTCTCACAGATACACAAAGTATTTGGTGAGGAGCCACTGCCTTCCCAGGCAGCCCCACCCTTGGCCTCTAACCTCCTCTCCGTTCACACCTCCGCAGGTGGGCCACGTTAGTTCCCAGAGAAAGGGGAAGCAGGGGTGTGTGTGTGTGCAGCCAGAGATCTTCCAGGCAGAGCGTCGTCAGCGCCCCCACCCTCCCACCCCCCGGCCCCCACGGCGTGCAGGCTGCCCGCAGACCTTGGCCTGGTACTCGGCCTGGTCCATCTTCTGCACGGCAGCCACGGCCCGCTCCATCAGCGTCTCCAGCACCTCATTGGTCAGCTCCCGCCGCAGCTCCCGGCTGCCTTGGGTCGCCACAAACGAATACATACTCTGACCAGCCCGGGCGCGGCCCCTGGCCTGAGGAAGCAGAAGGCGACAGGCCTGAGTGGGCCTAGGGTCCCACAAGGGTCTTTGAGGGCTGTTGGCAACACAGGGTTCACACACCTGGACCATGGAGATCTCGTTGGTCAGGAGCCCATAGCGCACCACCACGTTGCACTGGGGGATGTCCAGTCCCTCTTCGGCCACACTTGTGGCCACCAGGAGGTTCAGGGTGCCAACCCGGAACTTCCGGATCACTTCTTGCTGGTCTCTCTGGGGTGGGAAGAGAGAAAGGGGATGGTACGCCAAGTGGGTCGCCTGCCCTCCTGCCAGACCAGCCTCACCTGGTTCAACGAGTTTGGCCCCTTTGGCCCCTTTTCCTAGGGAGCCTGAGTCTCCACCGCTACCCCCAGAACCTTGCCCATCTTGCCAGTGGACCGACCACCTAACCCCCGTCTCCCCTACAGACTCTTTAGGGCCCCCACTTGTCTACGCTAGGAGGTCTCAGGACCTATTCTTCTCCAGCAAGGGACCCCAAGCCTCTGATCCTCTGTCCTGAAATCATCACTTACCTCCTTCCCTGCAGATCCCCCAAGCTTCAGCTTCTCTGTCCCCAGGGACCCCTAGACTAGGAAAACCTCCAGTACTGGGGATCTCGGTGTCCACCTCTCTCCCCCAGTTCTCTGCCCTCGGCCTGGGGAAATCAGTCCCCCATAGCTCTGTGAAGACTCTATCCCCACCCCTTCCCCCCTAGGAACTCCCCCAGTCCCAGCTCCTTTCCTCAAAGCCCACACCTGGGTCATATGGGTGTTCTGGCTACTGTTCCCTGCACCGATCAGCAGGTCAGCCCTCATGTCCACGGTCTGCAGGCCCGGCTGCTGCCGGAGCCAGAGCAGGAGAAAGTGAGCGCTCTGGCGGGTCTGGGTGAAGATGATGCCCCGGGGGCTGTCGCTGCTCCCAAACTGCTCCCGCAGGATCTGTTCTAGCATCTCCAGTTTTGGGTTCTCCAGGCTGCATGTTGCCAGGTGGGCCAGCTCATTCTTGTAATCTGCCAGAAAAGCCCAAAACGGAGGCACGAGATTCAGGCCTGGATGTGGGCAAGGCATGCATGGGAGAGGGTGTGGCCACAGGGACAGGATTGGGGGGGGGGTTGTAGAGGGAGCATGAGGGGATCTGCTCCCAATTCCCCCTGAACAGCACCAAGACAACATTCAAGGACACGCTCTGCCCACCCAGCCAGCCTGACACCAGGGGCCCACAGTATAGATTTCTTAGCAGACATACCTCGGACCTCTGCTACCCAGGATTAACTCGATCTCAGGTCCCTTCAGAAAGATCCTTGCCCCGCCCCTCAGGCTTGCTGAGGCCTCTAGCCTTGAATGTCACTCTCTGACCACCTCCCTTTCCCAGCTTAAAGGTACCACACACCCCAGACTTTCAAGGGACCATCCCCCAACTAAATGAATTAGTTTTAATGTCTATACAACCCTTCACAAATGAGGGCATACATCTTTTGTCCTATCCAGGGTCTTTTTTTTTTTTAATATTTTATTTATTTAAGAGAGAGAATGAGATAGAGCATGAGAAGGGGGAGGGTCAGAGGGACAAGCAGACTCCCTGCTCAGCAGGGAGCCCGATGCGGGCGGGACTCGATCCCGGGACTCCAGGATCATGACCTGAGCCGAAGGCAGTCGCTTAACCAACTGAGCCATCCAGGCGCCCCATCCACGGTCTTAACCCTCGGTTGGAAATACAGGGTCCCAGTACCCTCGTTGGCCCCTTGCGTTGGCGCCAGTGCCCTGGTCTAGTCCAGTTCCCGGGAGCCTCACCATCGAACAGCGCCAGCAGCCAGCGCTCGGCCTGCAGGACCTGGGTCTTCGTGGCGCGCTCCCTGTCGTAGAAATCCCGCAGCGAGTCCAGGGCGTCCACAGGACGGACCGTGTCGTGGATGAGCAGCGCATCGTTGTAGCGCCGCAGGTGAAGAGCGTACACCCGGCGCTGCTGGAGGCCGGCCTCGGCCGCTGCGGACGCGCAGGAGGGCGGGAGGGCGGGAGGGAGGGAGGGAGGGGAGGGGCGCGCAGGGTCTGAGCGGCCACGCCCCTCCAGGCCTTCTCCCGCGTAGACTCCGCCCCCCGAGAGGCCGAGCTCCGCCCCAAAAGGCTTCACCCTGGCAGGTCCCAGCCCCCTCGCCCTTCCCAGACCCGCGCGGATGGCCCCTCTCACCAGCCTGGCTCAGCTCCACCACCTGCTGCTCGTAATTCTGCGTCCCGTAGTCCTGGCTCAACTCGGGCATCTCCAGGCGGTTGTGGATTCGGTCCATGAGCTTCTTCAGTGTGTCCCCAAACGGGTCCTGGATGGGAAGAGGGCGTGAAGGGATTCCCATACACATGGGGGTGGGGGGGGCAGTGAGCACCCAGTGGGGACGCTGATCTCTGCTTGAAGCCGCAGGGCTCCTGCTGCCACGTCGGTGTTTGAGAAGAGGAGCTCCAGAGAGAAGCCCGCTGGGATGTGAAGGAGTCCCCGCTGGAGGCTGGGGTCAGGTGCCTGCCCCCGGCTCCTGCTCTGCCTCCACCTCCTCCGCGCCCTTGACCTCTGGCCTGAGCACAGTCCTTGTGCAGCCCTGCCATAGCAGACGCCAGACAGAATCTGCACCGCAGGAGAGCCTCAGCACAAAGGGCCGGAGGTGTGTGGTTTGCAAAGCACTCCACGGGGTTTCTACAGATGCCCACGGAGGCCTCGGAGTTGAACCAAACAGCTGGCTGTGGGCACGGACTGCATCTTCCCCATTTCACAGAACGGAGAAATCGAGACTCAGAGAAATAAGCAAGTAACCGGAAGTCACAGAGCTCATGGGGGTGGAGTCAGGGCTCAACGCCAGGTGCCCCAACTTCACATCAGACCCCACCTCCACTTCCCCCCACCCCGCCTTCCACTCACCTGGCTGCGCCTGCCGCAGAGGTTGTATTGTTTGCAGGGCTGAGAGCTGTGCTCCTGCAGCTTGGCGCGGTAGGTCTGTGGTGACATGATGCGCCACGTGTCCAGGTTGGCACAGAGCTGAGGCAAGAGAAAGGGGTTCACTCGAATGGGGGAGAGTCCTCTGAGGACAATGGGCAGAGCTCTGAGACAGGATAGATCCCAGCTGCCACTGAGCGGGGCCACTGGAAGTAGGGATTCATTTACTCAACAAATATTTATTGCTCGCCCTCTCTGTGCCCAGTGCTGTGGTAGGTAGTGGGGATCCAGAGTCTTATTTTGGAGTTGGGGAGAGAGATGATGAACCGGTAAAGAACAGAATGGGAGGGTTTCAGGCAGTATTAATGAGCTCAGAAGACAATAAAATTGGATGACATGACATGCTGTGGGGGTGACCAGGGAAGGGTGAGGAGGAGACATTCAAGCTGTTCCCTGAATGACAGGAAGGAGCCAGACAGGTCAGGTGCAGGGGGGAAGGGCATTCAGGGCAAAAGGAACCGGGAGCACAAAGGTCCTGAGAAGAATCCGATATGCTCAAGATCCAGAGAGAAGGCTGGCAGAGTAGGAGTGAGGTGTGGGGGAAATGAGGTTGGAGAGGTAGGCAGGGCTGGGTCCCATGGAACTTTGTTAAGCCACCCTATAGAGGGTGGGGTCTAACCTAAGTTCAGTGAGAAGCCACTGGAGGCTGGAGTTAAGAGCCTGGGAGAGCCTGGGGAGGGCTGCTGGGCCAGGGGCAGGCCGGGGGGGGGGCGCGCTGGTGGGGGCAGCGGCGGGGTCACAGGGGCCCAGCTGACCTGCAGGATGTGGTCGATGGCCCCATTAAGCGTGGAGGCCCCACCAGTGCCTGGGGAGGCTGTGAGACCCAGCACCTGGGGCAGGGGCCGTGTCCTCTGGAGTTTATGCTCTAGGTACCGGCTCAGGATGATGTTGTAGACAGTGTCTTTGTGCGTGTGGTGACACTCATCCACCACAAGCAGGGAGAAGGCTGGGGACACATGGGGCAAGGCTGTGACCGACATCTGCAAAGCCCTTCCTCCCCCATGAGCCTTTCTGCATGTAGCCCCCACAGGTCGTCTCACTCCTTCCTCCTTTTAAAACTTGCAGCCAGGCTCCTGAGAGCAGCCTAGGCAGGGATGACCTACCTCCATTTTACAGATTAGTCAACTGAGGCTCAGCGGTGGTGGCTGGGGGGACTTGCCCAAGATCCCGCACCTTCTGTGAGGCCGTATGCCAGGGTTTGGTGAATGGGGAACCCTTCACTACCACAAAATGTCCCAACAGCTTTACCAGAAGAGGTGCCCCGGGGGTGGCAGGTAGGGTGCTCAGGTGCACACTCTCTGCCCTCACCATTGAGCTCCACGTGCTCCTCCTCCTCGGGGCTGGTCAGCGCCATCTGTAGCAGCTCAGCTGTGCAGATGATCAGGTCATGGCTCCGGGCCAGGTGGCCAAAGCCAGCTCGTGGCCCCATGTCCCCACTCAGGGTTATAATGGCCCAGCGTTTGTCCAGCATGCGGCTGAACTCCTCACAATGCTGGCTCACCAGGTGCACCTGCCGGATGGAGAATGAGGTGGGGAGAGGAAGCTGGGCTGGGGGCAAGGGGGTTGGGGAGGAGGCAAGCTGGCCCCCCAGGACTTGGCTGGGGGCAGGAATGGGAGGAAAGGCAGGTGAGCTTAGAGATGACCACAGCAGCCCCCAAGTTCCGGAGGGTCTTGGGAGACACCTGAGGAGCTGAGACCGCAGCGAGAGGAGTGCGGGCTACTCACCCGGTTGACCAGTACAACCACCTTGGCTCCGTCCACAGTCTCTAGATGCCTCTTGGCCACATAAGCAGCCGCCCGGGTCTTCCCAGCCCCCGTGGGCAGCCACATGATGATATTCTTGCCCTCCAGGGCAGGCATGATCACCTCCCACTGGTAGGGTCGCAACTCCATTCTGAGAATGGAAGAAGAGTCAGACCCCTGGCCCACCTGGCCCTCTCCCAAGCCCGGCCCCCTCCCCATTCCTGGCAAGCCCAGTCTTGTGCAGAGATCTCCTCATCCGACTTGAGGGAGGTGGGGCAGGGCACAGAAAGGATCTACCAGGAACCTGTCTGGCCAAGACAGGCGGGAGTAACACAAACTACACCTGACTTCTGCCCTGTCGGTTCTTATCTGCAACACCTGCCGAGGTGCTGAGGTGCGGTGGCCCGCTTAGCTTAGCTCTGAGCCGGGGACCACTGGGCTGTGCTGAAATTGAAAACAGAAACTGAAACTGAGGGAGGAGTCAACTCGGGCAGAGCTCAACCTTAGCAATCTCCTTTCCCCTTCTTCCCCTTCCCCGCTGGAAAGCACCCTTTCACTCCTCCTGGGTCCTGCCGGCCCCTCCCCGGCCCCGCCCCCAAAAGCCGAGTCTCCACCACCCCACCCCGCCTCCACTCCTTTTGAACCAGCTGTAACCATGTCCACGCAGGGCAAAGCGGCCAGGTGGAGACTGGGACCCCTGCAGCCCCCACACCTGGACCAGGAGCAGCCAGGAGTGGGGAGAAATGGGGGCTGCCACAGTGCATGTGCCATCACCCCAGGAGCACGGGACTAGGCAGGAAGCTGGCTGGGGAGGGTGGCCCCGGCACCATCTGAGTTTTGTTTTTTTTTTTCAAAGATTTTATTTATTTGAGAGCGAGAGAGAAGCAGGGGGAGTGGGAGAAGGAGAAGCAGGCTCCCCACTGAGCAGGGAGCCCGATGTGGGGCTTGATCCCAAGACCCCGGGATCATGAGCCAGCCAGGTGCTCCATCCATCTGGGTTTTAATAGGCTCCAGTTCTGCAGGAGGTCCAGGCAGGAATGGGGTCAACCTGCTAAAGTTGAGGACCCTACTAAAGAAACAATCACACAGAGAAAAAAAAAAAAAAGAGCTTTATTGTTCCCTCTGAGGGATTAATGCCAGGAAATGGTCCCCAGGGCCCCCCACCCCTGGGGGACAGACAGAACAGTGCAGGGTGAGGCATGGCCCCTCCAGTCCCAGTTGAACTTCCAAACACTGAAGCCCCCTCCCTCAAGCTAAAATGGGCAGTCCCGACCCTTGAGGAAACAGTGGGCTGGACTCCACGGCTCTGTGGGGACAGGGCTGGGGGCCACCGGGGCTGGGCAGGGCTTATCCTCTAGCCACCAGCCACTTTAGAGGGGCTGAACCCCAGATCCAGGAGACCCCCTCCCCAAGGTCAGATACAACAAAAGCTCTGTCTGCAGGTGTGGGGGCGCCCGCGGATCCAGAAAGGGCTGCAGGGCCCAGGGGCTGGAGTGTCTCAAGCTGAGAGGCACCTGGGCGCCAGGGCCCCCCCCTCGCAATCAGATCAGAACCCGAAGTGGAGACATTCCAGGTCAGGGCTGCGGTCCAAAGCCAGACACTACTTGTCGATGAGCCCCCCCTCCTTGAGCTTGAAGTAGAAGAACTTCTCCAGGGCACTGGCGCAGCGGCAGTACTCGCTGTCCGGCGGGTTGTACTCGCGGCAGTTGGCGATGACCCGCTGCAGGTCGGCCACGAAGAGCTTGCGGGTGACGTAGTAGCGGCTGCGCAGTCGCTCTGTCATGGTCTTCAGGTCTGGGGCAGCAGGAGGTAAGGACACGCTTTCAGGAGGCTGAGGAGAACGGGGCTGTCCACCGGACAGCGGGCCATGGGACCCAGGGAAGGCAGGAGTAGATTTGGGGGCAGAAGTGGAAGGAAGAGGTCGGAATGGAGCATCCTCACCAATAGGGAAGCGGATGACCTCGTAGTAGTCAGGGGCCTCGGACTTCTTCACAGGCTCCATGAAGGGCCAGGCACTGGGGTGTGACTGCAGAGGAAAAGCCGAGCTGGAGCCGTGCCCACTGTGCCCCCAGCCCAGCCTGTGAGCACCACCCACCCCAGAAGGGGTCATAGCCACTGGTGCAGGTACCCCCAGGAGGGAACCTCGTCTCCCCACCTTGATCTGGGCCAGCAAGTTTTTGAGGGTTGTGTAGAGCTGGTCTGGATCCTTCAGCTCCTTCCTGGGGCGAGAGACGCCACGCCTGAGGCCCTTGGTCCTTCTGCCTCCCCCAAAACCCTCCCCCTCCACACAACACTCACCCCTTCTCCTTCCCCAGTGGCTTCCAGCCCGTCTCTCCTGCAAAGTGGGGAGTGGGGAGAGTATCCCTAAGAATTTGAGAACACACCCCAAACAGGGTACCCCCCACCCCCACCAAGACCCCTGCTCACGAATGCCGGGGACACTCTCCACGGGGATCTGCCTCACACCCTCCTTGAAGCAGCTGAGTCCAGGGTAGACCTTTCGGATCTGGGCCTGCTTGCGCTCAATCAGCTTCTTGATGATCTGAGGGAAGGCAGGGTCTGAGGGGCCAATTCCAGCCCCGGTAGCAACCCTCCCAGGGCCAGAGTCAGAGGCCCTGTCCCTGACCTAACTTTCCTGAGAGGCAAAGCAAGAACCAAGATCCTGGCCCACGCCCATCTCACACGTGCACGTACGTGTGGTACACATCCACACACGTGCGCTCAGCCCCACATGCATATGAAAAGCCCCAGGATTGAGTGCGTGCACACACACACACCTCCTTCTGCTTTTTGATGATGTGGGACAGCTCCGTGTAGGGGATCCGGGGATTCAGCTCACACTCCATCAACGTTGCACCCTCATAGTCCTTAATGTAGCCCAGGTAGCGGCTCTTGGGCACTTTGATGTCCTTGGAGAAGCCCTAGGGAGTGGACAGTTATGACCCGATCCATCAGCAAGGCCCTCCCAACTTGAATGACCCCTCGCCCAGAAGGGCCCTGAGGGGCTGTGCAGGCCATGTCCCCTTCTCCCCTGTTCCTGGATCACCTTCTGCGGTAGCTGGTACAATGCTGTGTTGTGTGGGCTCAATTAATCTGTCCCCAGAAAGGTTCCAGGTCAGCCGCGCCCTCCCCCTCCCCCATCCGGAGCTTCCCAGTTCTTCCAGCCCGAGCTGCTGCCCTGCAGGCCCCTCCTCCTCACTGGGGCGGCAGCAGGAGGCAGGCAGATGGGCACGGAAGACTTCCCCATAGGTGCCGTAGCTGCAGGTGCCATAGCCGCAGGTGCCGGATGGAGCAGGGAGCATCCCACCCGATCCCATCCACACCAGCGGGCTAGAATGATCCCTAACCCCAGGCAGCAGGCAAGTGCGGGCGGAGGCGAGGGTCACCTGCTTTTTGAAGTAGCCAATGGCATACTCGTCGGCGTAGGTGAGGAAGTAAAGAATGTTGTGTTTGATATGATACTCCTTCAGGTGGTTCATCAGGTGAGTCCCATAGCCCTGTGGGGGAGGGGAGCAGGGCTTAGCAGGGGGGCCCGGAGCAGAGAGAGCAGACTGGATAGGAGAATGGGACAGCCCGGGGACCCGGGACAGGGAGGACGAAAGGCAACTGGCAGAGGAAGGGGCGTCTGTAGGAAGAAAGTGAAGGACACTGGGTTTCTAAGCGCTTACTCTCGACCAGGTGTGGTGCCTGGTACTTTACAGACCACCTCTCAAATTAATCCACAAGATAAAGTATTTTTATCACCATTTTACGAAAAAAAAAAAAAAAACCCAAAAAACAAAATCTGAAACTCAACTATGTTAGGAAATGTATCCAAGGTCAGCCAGCCAGCCACCGTAAGGCCAGGACTGAAATCCCAACCAGGAAGTTGCCATCCACATGTCACCTGGTTCCCAGTTCCTGGGCCTCAGAGTTAGGGGGAAAGGGAAAGAAGAATCACAAGGGCCCTACTCATTTCAAATCTGAACCCTGAAGAGCAAGCATCTCCCACACACGTCAAGACCTAGGGGCACCATGTAAATCTGGCTTACATAAACCAGGAGAACCAGGGACCCTACCAGCTGTGGGTCATTGTCTGTTGTGCCAATTCAAGGACAGAACCCAGGACTATCACCCAGCACAAGGCTAGTGTAAAGATCATTAACTCCCCAGTGTATGTGAATGTTCTTGTGATGAAGGAAATTCAGGTCCATTTAAAAGCGCTATTGAAAAAAATAATAAATTAAATAAAAGCGTTATTGATAGGGGTGCCTGGGTGGCTCAGTCGGATAAGTGGCCAACTCTTGATTTTGGCTCAGGTCGTGATCTCAGGGTCGTGAGATCGAGCCCCAAGTTGGGCTCTGTGCTCAGCTCGGAGTCTGCTTGTCCCTCTCCCTCTGCTCCTTCCTTCCCCCCCAACCCCTGCTCATGCTCGCATGCTCTAAAATAAATCAATAAAATCTTTTTTAAAAAAATAAAAAGTTGGGGCGCCTGGGTGGCTCAGTAGGTTAAGTGGCCAACTCTTGATTTCGGCTCAGGTCATGATCTCAGGGTCGTGAGATCAAGCCCTGCATCGGGCTCTATGCTCAGCAGGGAGTCTGCTTGAGATTCTCTCCCTCTGCCCCTCCCCCTGCTTGTGTGCTCGCGCTCTCTCTCTCTAAAATAAATAAATGAATCTTAAAAAATAAAATAAGGGTGGTACTGATTTTGGAACTCTATTCGTCAACAAGTGTTTCCTTAATGCAGTTACCAAAGGACGACTGCCACCTTGTGGGGCTGCGAGGAACTGCCTGGCCACTGAAAGAAGAGCTGGAGACAGCGGCTGGGACCCAGAACAAACTCCGGAGCAGGTGGTGGGATGGGACTGGGGCCAGGAACACGCACTCACCTTGACCTGCTCATTTGAGGTGACGGCGCAGAAGACAATCTCCGTGAAGCCCTGAGTGGGAAACATGCGGAAGCAGATCCCACCGATGACCCGCCCATCCTTGATCAAGGCCAGAGTCTTGTGCTTCCTAAGGGCAGAGGGTACAGGTCACTGCCCCTACCTGTTCCCCAGATGCTGCCCAGGGCCCTACAGCCTTGGAGGCCCGGGCTGTATTTAGTGCTGGGAGCGGAGGAGCAAGCATTCCCACAGGTTGCGGGGGTCGGGGCAGAGGACAGGCGTGGCGCCCCGGGGTTGGGGCTCTTCTGGGGACGCACGGGTCAAAGACGAGGCGGGCGATGTACTCCTTGGGCATGCGCGGCAGCTGGTGGGAGAACACGTTCTGCAGCCCTACAAGCCAGAGCAACACGCGCCGGTTGGCCTTGGGTGTCAGCGAGTTGCCAATGACGTGGAACTCAATGATGCCACGGCGTTCCTCCAGGCGGGCAGTCTCGTCCCGGGCTGCGTTGGCCGACAGCAGGCTCGTCTGGGCACCAGAGGAGAGGTGGTG